AGCGCGTGCAAGATTCGGGTTTTGTTAAGGGTTCATACGGTTCTATACGTAAGCCGCCGCAAGGTAGCATAAGTAGGCCCCTTCAACCAAGTTACCAGAGTTACTAGAGTTACTAGAGTTACTAGAGTTACTAATTTGCTAAGGCTCACTTCTTCCGAATCGGCGCATTGGATTTGCAGCAGAGTCTAAAGCTTTCCAAAGAAGCTTAAGCGGTCTAAGTATGTTACCCAAGTTACTAGAGTTACCAGAGTTACCCAAGTTACCTAAGTTACTAAAGTTACTAATACTAATTAGGTTCTTCTAATATGCGATCCAAGCCCACCGTTTTGATCCTATACACTTTGCCACCACTCAATGTACTCAATACGGATAACACGTCTTCCTTTGAAGAGGTTCCTAGTACTTTGCCACCGTCTTATCAACCACAGCGAGACAATAACCAAGAAAAGGACTCTGAAGATGATGAACTCCCACTCCCGTCTTCATCCCTCTTAATAAAAGGGCGAAGAGGTCGTCCAAGAAAACCTGCTGTTCGCATTCCATCAGAATTGCAATTGCGTCGTAGCCGTCTTAGAAAACAAATTTCTAGCCCATCTCTTCCACAATCGTCTAGCATTACACGGAACCAAATGTTCTCTTCTGATTCCGGATCCGACCTAGAAGTTACCGGCCATCGCTCAAACGCTTTAAGGCAAGGTCGTGAGACACGTGAGGCTCAAAGGATCCAAGCCAATATCGAACGAAAGAACCGCATACAGCGAAAGGATGAACGAAAGGCTGCTAAAGAGGCTGCTTAGGCCGAACAAGAACGCCGCCGCACCTTCCAGTTCCAAAGGTCCATCCCTCTCTCGGACCTATCACAACCGTATGCTACTCTAGCCGAATACAAGCCGGCGGTTAATAAAAAAGAATAGAAGATGATCCAGGATTTTCATTCGACTATAGGAGCTATCCAAATAGACCTCTGCTTTCGCTGCAATGAGAGATGGTTCGAAATGAGACTAAAAGTAGTCCGCGGCGATCTTATTTGTCACGAGTGTAACCGCCGTGATAGATTTATCAAAGAACCGGATCTTCTTAGGCAGCCTTATCTCATGACAGCTAGCAATAACATGGACCTAAGTGAGGTGCCGGATTACTTGCCGAAGCTTTCGGCATTAAAAAAAGCGTTGATCTCACCGTTGCATGTTAACATGTCGCTTTAGCGCCACCGCGGCCACCAATATAAGTACTCGAGCCACGTAGTAACCTTTGCTTCCAATAACGCTAAGTTCTTTGAAAACCTTCTTTTGCTGCCTAAAGAAGTCAACGTAATTATTCTCAAGCCGAAAGGTACTGATAAAGACCTTCGGATCAGCAAGCAGTTCAAAAAGGAATGCCGAGTTCGGCGCTTTGCAATCCATATCTGGCTTACCTTCTTAAAAGCAAATAATCCTAAGTATATTGATATCAATATAGACTAGGACCTAATGGATTCCTTGCTCGTGGATAAAGATATAAGAGAGCGGGTCACAACTATTGAGGACGAAACACCTGAACAGCCTTTACTAAGGACAGCGGCTCCAGCAGCTACAGAGTCATCGGCACAGAAACGCCGCCGCTTGCGCCGAGAAGCTCGCGGTAATCTTGAAGAAAATTCGAGCGAAGATGAAGCTCTTGTAAACGATGAGAATGCCTTACCTGATGTAAAGGATCACTTGGATCCTGACGATGACTTACCTGATGATCAAGAGCGTCCTCCTTTAGAGACCACCGTTCCCGATTTGAATCCAAATACTACGGAATCCAATCAGCTCTTTGCCCAAGTCAATAAACTCGCATCGAAGCAGCATGTTTTTACCTCTGCTCCAAGCTAGCGGTCCACCCTAATCTCTAAGCTAAAACCTAATCAAAAGCTCTTTAGTTTGGCCTTTCCTACACTTTTCCTTACCGGCGCAAGCGATTTCCATACTCAACGATTCCGAAAGGTTAGTATAAAGGATTATGCTGAACACTTAATGAGGTACCGCGATGGGCGTTTTGCGACCCACTCTCGTTTCCGGTTCTACCTTTTCAATATTCTGATGCGCCTTAAGGTCGCAAAAGTATCCTCTTACTTTGTCAAGTCTCGGAAAGATATCAAAGACTTAAGTATTGATAGTTTACGAGATCAATTAAAAGAGCAGCCAGCCCTCCTTAATCAGATCGTGCGCTGTAAGCAAGCTATCGATGGCACTCGTCCTTTTTAGAAGAAGCAAGGCTATCAGCTAGAAGCATTGGCCAAGTCCTAGCCAAACGCTACAGCAGCTTTTCTTATATAAAGTGTTGCGGACATGCAATAAGAAGACCTTCAGCGCCATCTTCCTCGGTATAATAAATATAAGGCCGCCAACCAAGCTGAGCGAGCCAAGATAGTATAGGTCAATGTCTAAGAGAACCCGGCTATCATTGCTCATTACATCTACATCCGTTAGCAAGCCTTCTTGCAAGACATCCTAGGTCATTATTTGCCGTATACTGATTTTTAGGCACGATAAGAGTGGCAAGACCGTGGCTCGAGCCATATTCACGGTATATTTTAGTTAGAAAGCAGACCGAACGATGCGGGCGAGCCTGGACCTAGTATGAACTTCAAGAAGGACGATTACTTTCGTATTCTAGACTTCGTCAGCTTTTAAGAGGATTATATTACCGCTTATAACCTTGATGCCACTCGTTTACCAGATCTGCAAAACCCCACCTCTCTACCCTTCAGTATGATCAAGAATACCGTCGATCAACTCACTGCGTTAATTAATCGGATGCAAATCCATCGCGTTTGCTCAACCAAATACTGTTTACGCAAAAACAAAGATACAAGAGTCTTTTCTTACAGATTTTACTACAAGCGCCTTATACAGCCGACAGCTGATTATAATCGAAAGATCAATCCTCGCAAGTATCAATTCGCCGTTCAGCGCAATCATCTTTTGCAAAACCCTTTTTCACTTGTTTTTGTATTAAGCTGGTTAGCCAACACGGATATACAGCTTGTATCCAGCCTTAAGGGTCTCTTAAAGTACGCCTCTAAGTATTGCTTTAAGCATGAAAAAGAATCCGACTCTTACAAAGATATTGTTAATATAGTGCTAGAACACATCAATGCTAGGGCTCTAGCCTTTTCGCTAGTCTCTAAGATGCTTAATAAGCTGCTAAGAGAGAGGGATTATAGCGCCCAAGAGGTTTGTCACTTGCTCCTTAGGATCAATTTGACTAAATCCACTCGGAACTTCATCAATTTGGATTGCCGACCAGATGAAGACAAGAAGTACCAAGTGGAATTAAATGAGTATGGATTAGAACCCAAACTCTCTAACCTTCAGCGGTACCGACAACGCCCCGAGCGAATCGAAGAGGTTACTCTTTTGGACTTCCTTAAGGTCTACGATATATACACTTGCAAAAAGAAGAATTTTTTACGAAAAGGCAAGCCTTAAATCATCAATTACTTCCCTCAATACTCAAATATTAAGGTCTACGACAATTATGAGCACAACGCACGCACCCACTTAATACTGCACCATCCCCACCGAAAAGAAGACGACTTACTCACTGATGTTACCGGAGAGGAGCATCCGACATTCGCTTTAGCTTATAACGCTTGCAAGCGCCTTTGTCGAGATCCTCATAGCGATTCTTTGTATATGCTCGATTACTACGATCCTCCTTCTATAGCTGACGAAGAAGATAAGGCTGGTTCAGACGATGAATACGACATGGAAAGCCCTGAGCCTCGAGACCGTAATGATATTGACGCAAGGGAAGAATGGAATTTGCGCAACCTTCGGAACCCTCGTATTATGCTTATAGACGAAGACGACATATCGAACCGGCCTAAGGATCTTGCTTATAATTAGGATTCACATGTTAGCAAATATAATATTCTATCCACCCATGTTCGAGATTGAAGAGCTGCTGCAAGAGTATCTGACATGCGGGTTAGCGCTACTCGAGGTTGTGACCCTGAAAGGCTTTCCGATGAACAGAAGAGGTTTTACTATTCTATAGTAGACCACTATACTATGGTATTATTAAACCAGACCCTTCTACAGCTGCTAATTCATCTCGACGGCAAGGCTGGCACGGGCAAAACCTACTCTATTTTAGCTACCTGCGTCCGGCTCCAAGATATAGCGGATGAAGCTAGCAAGCCCAATCCAGTCATCCGAGCAGCGCTTACAGGTGTTGCTGCCTTTGGCATCGCAGGAGCTACATTACATTCATTATTAGCGCTACCAGTCAAACACCATTCTATAGACAATTCTCCTGCCACCCTCTAGACTCTCTAAGCGAAATTCAAGGATTGCAAGTATTTAATCATTAATGAAAAGTCAATGATTGATTTAAAAGACTTCGCTCGAATTCAAAGGCGCTATGCCTAGATTTTCCTTGAATCTCAAGAGCTATTTGAAGGTCTGAGTATTTACCTTTGTGGTGATTTTTACCAGTTACCGTTAGTTAGAGGGAAGTCCTTATTTGTAACCCACAACCTTTCGCCGGAACAAAAGATCGGTCAATCTTTTTATCGATTATTCAACAAAACCATTCGATTTGAGGTCATCATGCGTCAAGAGGGCGAGTCCTTAAAAGCTATCAATTTCCGCAAAGCCCTTTTAGAACTCCGAGAAGATAACCTTTCGGTAGACAGCTAGGAACTCCTCATTTCTCGAGCTAAAATGAATATCCGGCCGGCTGATAGAGAATCTTTCAAAGATGCCTTTCGTATTTACTTTACGAACGCGGAAGTAAGAGAATACAACCACGAGCAGCTAAAAAAGCTGAACGCGCTTATCCTAAGACTCAAGTCAGAGAATACGGGCAGCGCGAAAGCTTACAACGCTGATTGGAAAAAAGCTGAAGGCTTAGAGCAAAGCATTAATATATGTATTAGAGCTAAAGTGATATTGAATCAGAATCTCTGGACAGAAATAAGGGTAGTCAATAAGTCTATAAGAATAGTTAAGGATATCTTCTAGGAAGCAAGCGCCAAACCACGCGAAGAACTGCCACAAAGCATTATGATAGAGATCGAGGATTATACTAGTCCTACCTTCGAAGAAACTAGATAGTTCCTAGTATTTACCGTCGATCGAGACTTTTTTTACGACAATAAGCCTTGCAATCGTCGGCAGCTCCCTCTTCGCGTGGCTTACGCAATCACGGTATACAAGAGTCAAGGAATTTCCTTGATTAAAACAGTGATTAGCTAAGCTGGGGCTGAATTTGCCCATAGGCTACACTATGTATCAGCTTCTAAAGTGAAGACTTTAGCGGGGGTTATGTTTAAGAATGTGTTTGATTTTTGCCGCTTCAAGAAGAAGTCTACTAATACTAGTATTGATCGGGATACAAATCATGTGTATCGAGGGCAGCCTGCACAGCGGTTGTAAAACGTATAAATATATATATTTGTGTATTATACAAAAGTTACAAAAGTTACAAAAGTTACAGAAGTTACAAAAGTTACAAGAGTTACAAAAGTTACAAGAACCAATAAGAAGCCTCTATTCCTCGCTTAATTCAAACAAAGGCTCATTGCCACGTGCATTTAATCCTAGTAGAATACTTTCTTTGCATTCAAACACTTTACTTTTACGATATACTAAAATCAAACAACACACAGCAATCAACTATTCATCGCCTTTCTTATTGCTATCATGAATACGAAGCAAGAGAAAGAGAGTACTACCAACTATATTGAAAAAAGGGAGCTTGAAGAAAGGGAGCTTAAAGAAAGAGAGATTGAAGAGAAGGAGATTGAGGAAGGGGGCATTAAGGAGGAGGGGGAAATTGAGGAGGAGGGCGACATTGAGGAGGAGGGCGACATTAAGGAGGAGGGGGATATTGAGGAGGAGGCTACTACACCACCACTAAAAACTCTTTTATTAAAGGACCTTTACTACGCAACCCTACAACGCGCTCTTATAACACCATCATCCAGCTTGCTACGCCATCGATATAAGTCACCCGATCTCTTCAGTAGTAACGACGAGATAACCCGCATTATAAGTGAAATCAACCTTGAAAGACTCATCGATACCCAAAGCAGCTAACAGACCAATGATGATGCCTAAGGCGATGATAAGACACAAGATAATGCTCAAGGCAAATAAAAGAACGAAGTAAGCAAAAAGGAAAGCCAAGATATTATACCCACGGATCTTTCTAAGTTCATATACACGATGTATAAAGACAAGAAAATATACGACGATCCCGAAGTACACCGCGCCTTTAAGCAAATCGAGCAATCGAACAAGATCAAGGCTAAAGCGGAAGCATTAGATTTAGCGCTAGATTTGCCCCTTCTTCCATTCTTTCCAACCTCTAGGCCAAGCATAGATACGATCTATCAATCTCTACCGCGTCCTACGCCTCTCGCACTCGCTTAGCTACCTAAAAGACCTATCAAAATCGAGTGCACCAAGTGCAGCAGCTTCCGCCCATTGCTATACTTCCTTATCCTGAACACTGGTCTGCGATTTACTACCTGCCTGGATTGCTATTACCAACGACGCTACGAGCTGGCTAAAGAGTACTTTATTCGAGATACAGCTCGAAAGTGTTTAGTTAGCAATTTAACAGATGTGATGATGTCGGAATATACGGCGAAATTAGCGGACGAACCTTGTTAAAGCTGTTTAAGTCTATTCCCATAGAAAGAGCTAGATAACTTACATACCTGTTATCACTGTCGCAATAAGCGGACCTTTTGGCGCTTATGTGTTTTAGATAAGCGTATAAAAAGGGCTATTCAAAGCTTAAAAGCTCACGCAAAGATCGAGCTTAAAGCTCACCGATTGATGGCTATAAAAGAGTATAAGCTCAACGAATTATAGGATGTACACTAATGGTTTATTGTTAAAGGTGGTTGTATAGCTATTAGCAATTGATCAAGGGTAAACAATGTATTTAAATTGTAATTTTAATTGCGCCGAATCAATTGTAACTTTTGTAACTTCTGTAACTTTTATAACTTGATAATTTTATATGATTATGCATGCCAAGCCGATAGATTTAGCAAAAGCGAAAATTTACTTATATTATAAAAGTTATATAAGTTACAAAAGTTACAGAAGTTACAGAAGTTATAGAAGTTACAGAAGTTACAAGAGTTATAAGTTACTTTATAAAATATAATATAGATATACTACTATACCGACGAATACGGCAAGTATAAGAATTTGGCTGAGCACGGACCTTTTTGAAAGGTGAATTCGTCTGTCACTTTTGAATATTTACTATAACCTAAATATTCTTCTTAACCTCAACATTAACATCAACATCAACCTCAACTTCAACCTCAACCTCAACTCCAACCTCAACCTCAACCCCAACTGCAGCTACAACTACGATTACAACTACATCAGCAATATGATCTCACTCCGCTAGCGCAACCTTCGAGACGGACCTTATACAAGGCGGGTGGGTCGGCCGGATCCGGCCTATAAGCGGCAGGTACAACTACTTCGCAGGCAGCAGTGGCTGCTTTTACACCCCCTCCCCCCCCCTCAACAAGCCTTGCCTGTTGCCTTGCCTGTTGCCTTGCCTGTTGCCTTGCCTGTTGCCTTGCCTATTGCCTTGCCTCTTGCCTTGCTTGTTGCCTTAGTTGAGCCCGCGGTGTAAGTGATAAGTGATATATTCTAGCTACTTACGCTAATATTATATATAGATTTAATCAGGACGACGATGATAAGAATAAGCTAATGATCTCTCGCTCTCCTTCCCTCTCCCTCCTTCATACCGTCCCCGCCGTCCCCGCTGCTGCCTTGCCTCTTCCCTTCTCTCTCCCTCTCTCTCTCCTTAAGGTTGAGAGAGAGGTAAAGGAAGATAAGGTGATAAAGGATTCTAAGCCCGCAATGTAAGTCATCTTGAGATCAAGTGATACATTCCCGCTACCCACGCTAATGATATATATATATATAGATTCGAAGACGACGACGATATGATTGAGCCAATGATCTCTCGCTCTCCCTCCCCTTTTCTTTTCGTCCCTTCCGCGCCATCGATTCCTATCAGCGTCCCGGCTCCTAGCCTCGCCCCGGCTCTTATATTCTTCGCCGCCGCCGTGCCCCCCCTTGCTACGCCACCTGCCACCCTTCGCCCTACAAGCTTTGGACCGATCTTACCTTTACAATAGGGCACAAGCGTAAGTATATTTCACATCCTTTATTAATGCCTATTGATCAAATCAATAGATGTTTGCGTCCTCGCCGGCCGTTAGTAAAGGGACCCCCCTTACTAGGGCTCAGCTTGAACAAGCTCAATCGATTGCCGGGTTTGCGCGGCTCCCTTAGGCCTGGACTACTTAAAAGAAGAACAAGGACCCATACACGCCTTCCGCTATAAGCATATGGTGGTCGTATAAGCAATCGGACTTATCAAAGCTCCCCCCCCCTCGCCGTGCTGTCATCGGCCACGTCGGCCGTATCATGGAGACCGAATTGTAAGAATTACCCTCCCTTATCTTCTAGCAACCTTAAGCTAATACAAATATATAAAGGTGAGCCAGTGGACCCGCCTTGCGATGCGTACGCTGCTGCCCGCCAAGAGTGCTGAGCATACTCTTCGGCCGGTAAGGCACAAATATCTAATTCGAGGGATGCGTGTGCTCGCTGTCGGTGGTCTCTTCGGAAGTGTATTGCGTCTAAAAAGAGCCCACGTAAGAAACGTAGACCTGGACCCCCTTCTCCTGCTCGAGACCTTCCCCCCCCCCCCCCCCCCCTCTTCCAGGTGCACCTCTTACAGCTGGGTTAGAGATTCGGGTTTAGACCCTCTTTAATGCATATTCTTGGACCTGATAACTCTTATAACTTTTGTGACTTGTATGATCTTATAGCCTTTGTAACTTCTGTAACTTTTGTAACTTCTATAACTTTTGTAACTTCTGTAACTTCTGTAACTTTTGTAACTTCTGTAACTTCTGTAACTTCTGTAACTTCTGTAACTTCTGTAACTTCT